ATAAATGCCTCCCAAACGATCATGTCTGGAGTCCCATTCGTTGCCCATACGTTTGACAGGACATTTTTCAGCCCAAACAAACGATGCAGGTGAAATACTGAAAATGAAATAGACTCCATTGGTCTAACGCCAGCATTCGACTACCTCAGTGAATAGATGACCTTCCATATCCACCACTAGCCGCAACTAATTTCCCCCAGAAATGGTACAACCAAAACTGTCATCGTTGAAATTATTCATATGCAAAGCTAGATAATACTGACCTACAAACACTTATGACCCTACCAAGTATCATAGCTTAGCTGTTAGCGAAATATCATCGCGCATATTTGACAACACAATACTTCCATAGTTATGGGAGCAGTTAATGATTTCACCTATATACAAAGGTAGCAGTGGTAGTAATCCGGCTAACTACCATCCAGTCACACTCCTTCCCGTGTTGTCCAGTTACATGGAACCATTGTTGTAAACCTCATGATGAATCACTTGTGATCAAACAACTTATTATCTTTATTTCAACGCAGCTTTCGAAACAAGCCATTGTGAACAGTTAATTTGCTTCTGAACCGATGGAAATGAACAAACGCAGTAGAGAAAGGCGAAGCACAGCTGCGCAACATTTACACTCATGGAATCCAGTGACTCCTGCTATCTGGGATACGAAAGAACCTTCTTGAACAACGTACCACAACATTTTGGGTTTATAGGTTACTATCTGGTTCTATCAACGTCTCCTGCGTGATCCCAAATTCGTGGTTCTCATATCGTTTTCGTTTTTGTACTCGAAATTCTTTCTCCAAAGTTAGTGTTATTTGCAGATGATGCAAAATCCTTAATTTGAGAGCTCATTGACACTTCGGAGATGATTCTGCATAACTCATCGATGATCGATCAAAAATGAACTCGAACTCAGCACACCGAAACATACGATCATACCCCTACACTTCAGAGATCGATATATGCATCTCCTTGGAAATCCCCTACTGCAACGCGGTTCAAGTAAGAAGAACCTGGACATTAGTAATGTTCACGAATAGCTAAGGTGTTCGATCAAATACACCAGGCTTCGTCTGCAAATTTGAAGGATATCGGTTTGCTGAAGTGTTTCTTTGGTTGCCTTAAATCAACACTGTCCCCGTGTCTTCTTCAGCATGCATTTGATCATACACGCAGTATGCCATCTAGGGCTGGGAATCAGGGTTTTACCATGATCGAAGGATACAGGAACCTCCAAAAAGGATAGCCGCTGAGATGGTTAATGGATTGCATTCTCTCACCTATTTTGTCAGATCAAGATCATTTGGATTATATTCTACGCAGTGTTGCCAAATTTGAGCACAATTGATTTTTGTACATGAAATTCAACAGAACCCAAATCATCCATGTCGATCGCCGCTTACACTCTCATCCAAACTTCACTTCAGAGGTCATCCTTTAGACTTCGTGCCTCATAAAGGTCGACTGGAGTGCGAGCGCTAATCTTTTTCCTTCAAAGTGGGCATCACTTGAAACTCTGTCCCACCCCAACTCGTTTGTGAGGGAATTGTTAAATCCTTCAGGTGGAGACTTGATAAATCATTACATTTTGACATCCAAAAGACTAATTGTGTTTACCGCATTTAACTTATTTCCTTGTAAAGCCCATCGATTCATTTGTGTCCAAAGGCTCAAGGGGCAAGAAGAGCAATCGCTTTTAAGCATTTTACATAAAAAGGCGTTGACTTTGTGTAGGATGACGCATAACCTTTAGCCGCATCAAAGTTTATATTATAACCACACGGATTCCGCAACGTTCGTTTCCGTACTAATGTTGTAAGTGAATGAATGCAGTTGAAGGAGGATAACGTACTTCATTTATGATACCCCTCTAATACCGAATAAACAGTTGTATTTATTTAGATTCGGCCATTTTATTATTGCACCCCTGGTTACTTCACACAATGGTCCAAAAGCTTTCGTGGTACCAGATTTCAATCCATATATGAATCGTGCCAGGTAGAGTGTGATCGCATTGAACTACCTATTTATTCTGTCTAGCCGTTAGCGGTTTGCAAGGTCCCCGTATCCAAAGGTTAGAAATACTTAAAGCACTTGCGCGAGCTGCATCCCCAAGACAGACCTCGAGTTGAAAGATAGATTGAAATTGGCCTTTGCACGAGTAAATCGGTAGCACGATTGTATAATATTTTGACATTTTCGTATTAACGTTTCCTCTATCCCGGGATCAAAAAGACCTGTCTCCAATCAGGGACAAGATCGGATATATTTGTTTAGTCAGAGAACATCGTGCAACTGACTGAATTATCGCATAAGTCCAAACAGAAAGTTTGAAATGCATATTGAGCTATAGAAGGACATCATATCTCACATGTTGTAGCAAAACTTCACATAGTTTTAGGTACACGGAATATGAAACCACTGATCGCAATTCTCTCACATTCATGCCCTGTGAGGTGTANGGTGTAAGTGTAGAGTGAGGGTAAACAGAGGTTCTGGGGCAAATAAACAACCCAGTTAGTGACCGAAAAATTTTTCTAATTCAGCCTTTTGTAATCTGTGCTTTGTTTGTGTCACTCTCTTTGCGTGTGTCTGTGCTGGAGCGTGCAACAGGTCACATGGATAGTTGAAACTGATAGCAGTCAATTCTGTGATAGTCAAGTTCGGAATAGTCTTATGAACATACAGGCGGGGGGAATTTCANCGAGCGTCCGTGGGTGCGTGCTAGTGCGTTCAATTTGCATAGATAGTCACAGCCTAACGGGCGGAATGCGACCTGTGCCTTTCACTGTGATACAGGGCGTGGTGTAGAGCTTGTGAATAGTCCGAGGAGCGAATAAAACGCATGTATGTATCACGTCTCACCATGCCGTAAATGTGTTCTTGAGCACTGTCGAAAATATATAGGGTCGGGTTTGTCTTTTGACAGAAAAAGAAAACGAGATGAGAACGAGGGAAGGGGCTGAATATCTTGGTAGCAGCCATCAATTAGTTTCAACACTGCAGTGTACCGCATTTGGGCTGATTATCCACTTTGGTAAGTAGGGAACAGTTACAAATAATGGAAGCACGTCAGTTGAGTGAAGAACAATGAAACAGGGAAGCAGATTTTAAAGTTTTCAACCAATCCATCCCATTGACCAAAAGGTGTTTGTGATATTTAGTTCTTATGATCAACTCCCTAACCATTAGGAATAAAATCAGAACTTCTGATCACTATGATCTTTTGTTTTCTTTCTACGTATTTTTACTGAACGTTGATCATCATACAAACAATTCCCAGGACGAGGGGCGTTATCAATCAAATAGGGTTAGAGTAAGTTAGAAGTCGGTGGTGGGATTCCAGCGTACGTCGTATAGGGTGATAAGTTGGTAACAGCCGTTTGACCAACGCCGCCCCACTAAAACGACATCCCAAGAGGGATTACTTAACTTACGCTTTACCGTCAGTTTTTTCTCAGTAACATAACACGAACTTGCATCTCAACCTCAGAAGTAAAAAGCAAAACACAACAGATTTTATAAAATTATTAAATATATAGTTAACTTCAAAGATGAAAATCGTCGTGTATATATATATATATAGTATGAACTGAAAAGCTACGAAGCACTGGACAGCTGTTTCGACCTGGTTGGGTCTCATCAGCAATACGAATCCATCGACCCAACTGGGGATCGAATCCCGGACCTCACGGGCAGAACGTGAGCATGCCAGCCACTTGGCCATCGGGCAGCTGATCAGACCGTTCCTCATTTTCTTCATTTGCTATCTACACGACGATTTTCACCTTTGAAATTGAATTAAATTTCCCCTTACTCACATGAAACATAGCTAACTATTAAGTCCTCTCATTCATCCACACAGCACAATCAGTTGTTAAGGCTTTATTTCTCCTGTGACGCAATCCTCAATCTGGAAAATCAAATAATATAGCTCAAACACATGTTATGCCTAAAACTAAAACAAAAAGATTCTGAGAAAATTCACCAGTGACAATGACAATATTTGTGACAATAGAAATACCATATTTGTGGGATCTGATGATAATAGTATTTATTTTCATTGATTGATAAAACTTACAATTTAATCAATAAAAATGTCTATCATCTGTAGATAAACTTTTATTAAAACTGTAGTGTTCACTGAATTATGATTTATTCTGTTTGGATTGAGAGTGGTCAAGCGGTTCAGACTGTGTGCATAGCGTCTTGCAGTGTGAGTTTAAATCCTGGTCTCTGTCACCCTACTAACGAGTTACAGGGCTAGCAGCCGACTGCAACCGCCTTTCTAATTATTGATTTCACCATTGCTGCATATCAAAAGGATGAAAGTACGAAATAATTTATAATTAATTGATAATACCAATTGATATATTAAAATGATGACTGACTAAATTACCAAGGTTAAGCATCGGTCATCATGTCGACCCAGATAAAGAGAACAACTCACTTCCCATTTAGTCCTTTAGGGGAAGTTGCTGTTGACTGCAACTCTAAATGACAACTAATAGTGTATTTGTGTAGAAGTCATTAACAGCTCTATCAGATCGATACATTCTCATTTTAGCTTGTCTTCCTGGCTCTGAAGGTGAGGTCCTTACCAGGAAGAATAAGAAAATGATAAAAGTTGCTTTCCTTTTAATAATTGGCCACATAAAGCCCCACAGGCACGAAGAAAGATCCAGTGTAATTTATACTCAGTTGAACTCGTGCATTTAAACACTTTTTTATAGGCTTTTAGATGACGTATTTTTTCTAAACCATTGGACAAAAAGGGTCAATGTTTTTTCCTAAAAATCTCTTCTTAGTTGAGACAGTTTAGTAATGTATCACCTACAACGGTGACAGACAAGAAAAGCTTACCACCTTTGCACTTCGATTCGATAACATTGAACCAATTCATTTATGAATGCCTTACGTCTCAGTGGAGAAACGCTTCAACTAAGTGGGCAGTACATTATCAACACTATTTTCATAGTCTGAAGAAAAAGATTTTCCATCTAGTTGACCTAGTCAAATGAAATAAACTTACAACATTGATACTCATGATTCTTAAATAGGCAATGGATACGTGAAGTCATAATTCCATGAATGGGCACAATTAACCATCCTTGTGGTAAAAACAAGCGTTAGATACAGTCAACATCGTGCTCTCCTCATGCTTCAAGGTATTCAGTTTAACATGCATAAACCGGTGCATACACTAGTAATAAAAGCAATAGTACCAATATCATACATCACTTCTGTTCCATAGGCATTAAGAGATCTGATTTACTAACGGGTAATATCACGCCAATCCTGCTGAAAAAAATTATATTGTTGTGCCGGTTTGCTGTTTCACATGATTTCCTTACTACCCGATTGGCATTCTTAAGAGGGTGGGGCAATGAAAAAAATACTGATTTTATTTATTTGTTTCAAAACAGATCGATCGACTCACGTTAATGCTTTCTTTAATCACATCTTTGATTTTGTCATCCACATTCACCTCGCTGCAACCAGTATCGGCAATATATTCTTGAAATATGCGTTTGCTTTCGGTTGCCACCGCGGACAACGGACCAAATCGATACGAATCTACCGCCAACCAGAATCGTATATTCTCACAACTGTGCTCCTTTTGCATGAACCATTCCAACCAGGATCGACCAAGTGAATCGTTGAGTAAATTTTCCATGGTGACCGCCCACATGCGAATCTGGAGACAGAAAGAAATAATCGTTAGCCAGAGAAAGGAGGATTTTGAGTTCTAAGACAGCGTGCGAATTTATTCTGGCATCCCCTTTTTAAAGTCCAAGCTGAATGGTCTCCGAAAACGATTTCCAATTCTGCCATATGATTCATGCCTCAGATGCAAATAAAATGTATTACGTAACATAAGTGTAGAGGGATTCGTAATTTTTCACCACATCAGTTTAAAGAGAAAACCGAGCTCTTAATAATTACTCACCAACCGAATTGTAGATCTTACATGTGGAAAATATGCGCGCAACCCAATAGATCATCCAGACCATCCATCAGGCTATCTCACTTCAATATACAGAACAATGCATTATTGAAAGCTCTTGGGACCCAAACATTTAACTCATTTTGACAAAACGGAATTTACCAAACAAGTGTGATTCAATCATGCAGTGGTCTCCACGTTTTCAGATCTTGTTTATTTTGCAATGATCGACTAATTCGATTCTAAATACAGAAAAGTACGTAAATACACAACTTCTCTCTTCAATGAAAATGACTATTTTGGTTCCCGGTTACCATCTTCAAAATTAGTCGTTGGAAGTTACTTGAATAGGTGATAGATTTTCAGTAATTTACCGTTGGAATCATACTGTTTCTGGTGTTCTTACTGGAGGCACTATCATTTGATAAGAAAAAGCACACTATCTACCAACTCCGTTGGAACTGAATTCACATGATCTCCATATATATATATATATATATATATATATATATATATAACACCAACTTGTCGATAAGCATGGTGTCAACGTCACAACGATAAAAACAATAACAATAACAACAATAAAAGGGAGGAAGGCCGATTGGAATATAGAACAAAGTGGAAAGAGGATTAAATGGAAAATGGTAGATAACTGGGATAAAAAAATATTTTTGTTTCTTTCACCGTACACCTTTCGATATTTTTTGTGCTGTTGTGATCTACAATTAGAGGCATAAATATACTGGGTGACCTTGAGGTAAAAGCATCTATTTGTCATTCTGTATTTCCACTTCAGGTTGCGCAGATTCATCTTTTTTAGGGAATAAGTGTAATACTCAACCTCAGGATTCCATGAGCTTCTTTTAAACGTCTACTCTTTTAATTATGTTTTTGGCAAATCTTTTGAGAAAATCCATTGACATTTTATTCAAAATTTTCACCCTGTTAGCTCCTCATGTTAATTGGCTTTCTGTTAAAGAAATCCCGTCAGATGAATCTTTCCCAAAGGTTGTTAGGTTGGCTTTATGGATAATATGATCTACGTTAGAGTTGGTGTTATGTATTCAAGAAGAACCCACTGTAATTTCTTTGGAACTTCAGTTTCACTGATCATGCATTCTCAAGCTTGCCACGAAATTTTCTTTTTCTATATCGTTTATTTAGTGAGTATGTAATTGTACAGATAATCCTTTCATAAAGAGTGAAGTGTTACGGCAAAGAATTGTATATACTGTAAAGAAATGTTGAACTTTGGGCTGCGGAGAGGGGTGGTTGAACACCAGACTGTCAGATGTAATTTGACAGTGACCAACACCACTAGATAATTGCCAACCATTCCTTAAATTCTCCAAAAAGGTTTACATGTACAGATTACCTACGCAGACCATCGACGCAAGAAATGTTCGGATGTTTTAAAGTGGCTTCTGTGGGAGCATGATCGAATCACTCCACCTTCTGCATCAACAGAACAGAGCGAATAGTTCTAATCTTAACTTAGCTCATAACCTCACGCACTTCATCAAGATAGCAATGCTGCCAAGGATTTTGAGTAGTTTAAGATGTTCAAGAGGAAGCTCGACAGCGTCCTGCGAACAATGTGGTATGCAGATCTATCATGAATGAGATCTTCGAGTCTGTGGTGATGAGTCTCATACGGGAAATTACCCTCTGCCTCTAATTGAAGAACATTGAACATTAATTTTGTTTTGTATTGTAGTACTGATTTGAAGTAGTAAGTAGCTGGTTGCTTTAGGTTTATTAAAGCTGAACCTCTTCGGATACATTTATAGCATAGGTGTGCCACGTTGTAATCAGTTAATAGTGGTAAGTAAGATTGCCATTTATCATTTTGAACTTTTACCAATAGGGCAGGTATGAATGTGTTTTTCTGACAGATCTACTAGGGAAAAAGCGGTCAGACAATGAAGTGTACTGTTTTGTCTCAATTGAACGTACTCAAAATACGGAATCAGCATTGATCATAACAAATGCATGACACAATGATCAACTTGCTTAAGTACAATTCACATGAACGTCAGCACATAACGATCTGTATTTCAGACACCTCAAGTCTAAAGGTGAGATCGTGTTCGGAGAAATTTCGTCCCGAGCATTCGTACAGTTCAACGTTTTCTCACCTGTCTTAATCCGGGTAGTGGTAAAGGAAATAGCTGACTAGTTGCCGAGCAACCAGTACAATCCGTAGGCCAATCACTATCACTGTGATGTGTTTTGAGCCATGGACTTTCGTATTCCAAATGGTTAGCAAACGCGTCGGAAGGCATGTTGGTGTTGGCATAGTTGATCAGATTTTCCAGGTTGTGCGAATCGGTTGGGCTTGAACTGTCTGTGACGGTTGATCGATGCCTATTTACTGGATTCTCGCAGGATTTGCTTATTGTTTCCTCAGCTGATAGATGAAAGAATAATGTGGAAAGTGGCAGCTTGTTAGATGTAAATGTACGATGCATTTCTGATCAATTCCATTTGAAACACTGAACAGGGTTTGGAAACTGTCTAATATGACTTTATGCCTTTCGATCCAGTCGCTGCTGTTACGTGACGCAATATTCGAACATCATTATAGTGTAAAGTCAAATCATTACTGCATGAGGTCAAACGACTGAATATTTCGACCCATTGGAGTTGATGAAATAGGGGAAACTTTTGGACTAGCTAGGTCAATATATGCATGAGAGTAGACGCAAACGATTATATAACAAAAGCTCCCATTTATAATTTTTATCTCTGAATGCAGTTCTTTGGACAAGCATTCACGTCGGAAGGACAAGATCTTGAACGGATTAGCAAAACAATAGTGAAAGAATATACCCGATGGAGGGTAATAAATAAGAAAAACTTTCTGTTCTTCATGGGGAATTTTCCCATGAAATCAGATACCACTTATTGCGTGTATTCATAAGTTGACCCTAAAACATCCGGGTTGCTTAAGATTGCTCGCGAGACTTTTCGTTTCCCTGGTGTGTTGATTATTCAACTAATCAACATGATCCTGGTTTTAACCAGCCGAAGTAAGGGAACGGCTCCTTCTTTGCTCGATTTCCTTTATCTTGTACCGACGCACATCAAGAACCCATTCGCATGTAACTGCAATGTAATCAGTCAGTTGACTTTTATTTAATTGTCACAGGATCCTTTTCATAATATTGAAATTATTCGCATATAAAATTTCTTTTGTACCGGTTTGTGAATCAGCGGTGTAACGACTCAATTTTATGGGTATTCATCAATAAATTCAACTCTTACACCTGTCCTCAATACTTCATCATTCAACACTTTGACACCGATTCTATAAATATCAGTTGATCGATCAATCTGGTAACAATCGATTCCCGGAGAGTGATACGAACAAATGGAGATGGGATTTCCTCTCCACGAATGTCTGTCGCTAATCTGGAGTTGGAATCAGATTCCGGAAGCGAGTGGAACCTCTTTAGGAAGCTGGAATACTAGATGCAAATCAATTTGCACGCCGATATATAGTGCAGGTAATCTTTGACTGTACAACATGGATGGAGTTAGCAGTAATCGTGGTGTTCCTAATAACGAGGCTTGATCAAATACGAATCACCGTCTTCCAAGGTGCACACATAGAGGGCAGTATATCCCATGCGATAGCCATCCGAACAAGTATCTTCAGGCAACCAAGCATATCGATGGCGATCTACCGAAAAGAAAAGAATCTCGTGCATTTGCTTTAGGATTTATTCACAGTTGTCGTAGAAGGACAGTCGATTTTCCTGAAATCAAGTATCCGAGAGGTCCGTATGAACCAAATCCACCGTTTGATTTTACGAGCGGGTGGACGAGGAAAGTACACCAAGTGGAAAACGGAAGACTTGCTTTCGGAACAGGTCCTATTTGTATCAGGATTCGATACAATTCCAGTATGTCTGAGCTGCACATAGGGGTTTTCTGTAATGAAATATGGTATTCAACAGTGAACTACATAATGTATACGTTAGTCTCTGAACAGTGTGCATCATCCACGTAAATTTCCCCTCCGAGGTTTCTGGCCATCGCAAATGATTGAGTGCTTTTTATTCGGATCATCGAGATGATAATAAACAAGTAGTTTTATCAAACGGAATAAATTGAACATAATGTGATACTATATGCATGTTCAGGTCAAATTAGGTACCATAAGAAATGGAATAACATGAGGCGGGTTTGAAACGTCTCAAAATACAAATATGCTTTTACATCACATTTGAAATGCACTGGATCAAGATAAGGGAGAAATTATTCCAGTTGCACATTTCTCTCTGCTACTGACACAGCGCAATAAATATTTCCAATATTGCGAAAGCAAATAACCTGAAATTAATGTTGAGATTGTGTTCGATCCACTGCTAGTGTCAACCGAGAGAAACCAGTCAGAATCACAAGGACCCTAGTATTGAATACGTGTTTCGACTATAGTTGTAGGCAGTTCTTACCTTTATTTTCCCTGTGAAAATAGTTTTTTTATTACACACTTTCGTGTGATGAACTGCAGATGGGGAAAGCCCCATAGTCACGGAGACCTGTTGTTCAGTGATGGAGAACGGTAACCTAAGACCTATGACTTGGAATGGCGAACCACATAAGGCCCCGATAGGTTGGGTGTGGTACCGAACCAGGAGACAGCAAAGCTGCCTACCACCAAAGTTGGGTGGCGGTGGCGGGGCTCAGACCTCGGACCATGGGGTCCAAACACGCCTGTGATAACAACTAAACCACTGCGCCACCACGTAAGATAGAGATGAAGTTCTTTGAGGCACGATATTGAAAGAAGTTTCTACTGCGGATGAGAACGAAATGAGCACCCAATAGGCTCGGGATATGCTCGAGAGACATGTACATCGTCCGCTGAAGTACAATCATCCAATACCATTGCCAGGTTAGCGTTTTATGACATAATGTTAAATAAAGTAGGCTGTGGAGAGCCAGTTGGAGTAGCCCACGAGTTTGGGACTTCAGGTTAGCAATTCTTCATCTCTGACTCCTGAATCTAGGGGTAATTGGTGAAAATGCGCCGTCTTTGATCTTCACCAAGAATAAAATCACTCATTCAACAAACCTGTAAATCTTTGCTTAAAAACCCATCGTTCATCTTTGTCGGTAGTAGTAATAGTTGAAAACTTTACCTTAATGGTGACCTTTTTTTACCTTTCATGTTACCTTTTTTTGTGAAATTTTCCACATGGCCAAACATTCGGGTGTGTTTATAAAACTTAGTGCAATGTAACACAAATACTGCGCTCAAATACATGAGAATGATGAGTGAGAGGTAAGAGTAAGTTGCAATGCGCAAGTAAACCATTTTGGTTGTTATTATTTCTTTGATCAATACAGGCACCAGAGTACACAGCGAAATGGATCCCTCATTCAATCACGCGAATTAAATTAAATGAACAACTAAAATACGGAAACGCACCATCTTCAAGTATATGAAAGTTTCTGTTCATCCGATTGACCTTACCGAGTCATTCTTGACGGTATTACATAATCATAGTCGGAAGTTGATGGCTATTAGACAAACAATGCTTAAAGTAACAGAAAAGATTCCTCCGCGGTATGCGCGAAAACTGTAAACCAAGAAGAAGAACTCGCCTTTCTAGGCTGATCATAATCCACATTCTAATTGGAAGAAAATACAATCCAATTGTAATTCGTTATCAGTAAAATGTACACAAAAGCGTGTCTTACGTTTGTAACCGAAGAGGGTGATAGCAGGCGTTTATTTAGGTATTTTTTCATAGCATCAGTTAAAATGAATCTCTAGTGACTTAAGCTCCAGATAGCACTACTTTCCTAATCGTGTATGAAGGCAGTGGTATTCATTCTGTTCCAAAAATGTAAATAAGAGGTGGCCGAAGATAAGAAGTTGAAGAGAATACTGAATAGTGAGAAACACGGAGATTTCATATGCGACCGATTGCACGTGTTTCGATCATTTGCTTAGCAATACTAATTTAGTTTCAGAGAAAGTGAAGTGTTCTGGGACACCCTGAGACGTACACAAAATCAATGGATATTTATTAGGATTCAAAAATTATTCTGTTTCTTAGTGAAATCCGGATATCCTTCTAGTTTGTAAACTGATTTCAAAAACTAAGAGGATAATAAAGTAAATGTTGAATGATATAAGCGATCATCTTAAAGACAACGGTTAAAATACTGTTCCAACATGATGTTTAATTGACGTCAAGTAATGATATTCTTGAAAAGAAACCAAGTCTGCAAATTTATTGAACCAAATAGCGATTCTGAACACTTCTTCAAAGAAAAGTCTCGAGGAAAAATGTGTGAGACTGTTTTTTATGACCCATAATTTTCGAGTTCTGGAATAGTCAGTCATAAGTTGTTTAATATTCGACTTGAAAAATATTCTTCTAAATCTTCAATGATGGGGTTACAGAAATTAAGTTGTGTAACTCAAAAGATAATAAGCGGCAATCACGATGAGACATGCCGTCCTTTCTTCTTACACTGTGGGTTGAGTATTCCTTTTTAAGGACTGAAATGAAAGAAATACAATATTGGGCAGGATAAGATTAACGATTTTGGAAACCAACTGAGATGCAGGAAACTTAGCATGTATAAAGTTCCTGGTACAAGAAGCCAGCAACAAGCTTATATCTCCAGACCATGTGCATCGAAGCATAAGAAGTGGCGACAAAAATTTACCAGTTTTTGGGTGCATGCGGTTGGGAATGAAGTTGAAGAAGTGGAGAAGAAGCTGAGGTCAGCAACCACCATAAGTTTCATAGTACCTGCTTGCGCGCCAACGTGATCAAGGACGAGTTAAAGAAAGTAAGTCAGTTACAGCGGGATACCGCGGGATACTTATAATGTGTGCAGGCTTTCAAGAATGTTTTTTGCTCAGAATGCTTCATCTTTAAAACAATACTTCAAAATTCACTGACCTGCAGCGTCCAGATTCTTAGATGGTGCCGGAGTTGTTCTCCTTTTCTGACGAGCTCTCATTTGGGTCAGTGTGAAATTTCTTTGTATGTCTTCCAAGAATGCATCGGGTCTGTTTGGTGGGGGACGATGTATTCGCCAGTAGGCACGTTCCTATCGAAAAGAAAAACAGAAATAGAGACAAAGTATGCTCATAGTGTGCACTAGTCTGCTACTTTCAGAAACTGACTGCATGAAATGCTTAATGTCACCGAATCGAACCAGCCGTGTTCATCCATCGATCTGCCTTATGATCGGGTGTGGGACCTCAAAAGAGCAATACAATAAATAATCCATTCGATCAGCCTCTTCGTGAATGAACGGTGATGAACTTTTGTTCTACTTCTGATGTTCGGAATTCGATCTTGTATGGGGCCTCTGAACACAAAGTTGGTAATACCTTGAAAAATGTAACACTTCTACAGAAAACTGAAACATTTCAGTTCCGATTTATTGATCTGTTCTATAACTCAAAATGCATTTCATGGGATACTATCAATAATTTTAATTTTTGATTCTGTGATTGCACCATTTGTCTGACGGATCAATTCAAGTGACGAATGAGAAGATCATTTGAAAATAAATCTGAACTAGAAAAAAGAATTAAAAAACCCTCCTATTTGAAAGGAACCAGAAATATAAGGGACGTTTGTCCAACACAGTCTCACTATGTCAGCAAGAGACTTCGGCATCGACAGAATGAAACTTCTAGGAATAAAAAGGGAGCCGATCAATATTACTTCATCGAATGTCAACAATTTACAACCATGCATGTATGACGATTACGGCTTGTGATGCCTTGCATGCGATTAAGTTTAATTCGTAATGCAAAATTCATAAGTTTGTGGCCATGACTGAGATATGATATCTCCGTGGATCGTTCATTGGTAACTGATAATTAGTGGTGATCCGCCGTGATCAGTCAGGCAATCATTAGTGTTTGGCTGTTTGTTCTGAATTCATCAAGTGGTATTTGATGCATCTATATTGAACAGAAAGGAAGTTTATGACAGTCTTTTGTGCTATTTGTCGGAACGAAACGCCGTGGTAACTTGTCACAAGGGAGTGCTACCAGTATGAAGGAAATTGAGCAGTAAAAAAAACAATATTGCTTCGCTCGGTTCATCGTCGCCCAATGACCGCGATTCCTCCTAAGTCGATTAGAATGACTATTGCCCGCGTAGCTCACGTGAATAATTTCAGCAAAACCGTGTATTGCACTCTGATGGATCTTTCACAGAGTTCTAAGAAGCTGAGATTGTTGACAGTTAGAAAACAGTGTCGAATGAATCATCTATTACAGTTCACGAATCCCATATCTGTTGAAATTACCAATAGATTGAGGGAATATTTATTAATAAGTAAAAGTTGAACCTGAAGAGACCTAATAATTTACAATTACTTCCCGTAACTATATCACATTTCCTTGTCTGACGGTCGCCTACGGTCCATAGACGTTTTTTCTAGCTCACTTGCTTCGGTAAACAATCCTGGACAGTGACCAAATGCAACGCTCTACATATACACAGTTAAAAGTTTAACTTTGCATATACCATCTGCTGAATTAGCTTAATCAAGCTGTGAAACACATTCGGCGAGGATGATAAATGATACAAAAATGATAGGAACCTATCCGAAAAAGATAAGTAACAAAGGGAGAAGCTGTAGGTTTACAGGTTGTTGCCTATGATTTTATGGATATGCATTTGTTGATTCGGGAATTGCAGAGAAAAGTGTAATTCCATTAGTTAATGAACGTGTTCACGTTTAATCTTGCTGTTCAGGTGAATAACTGTTAGTTCATTTCCATTGCATCCTTGTACCAATGTTAAGTATCCTGTCAAGTGTAGCTTTCAATGTCAGAAATATGTAGACAACTGCACTTGGTTCGAAGGAATCTGTGTTATTCGAGGGGAATTCTGTCCTACCGGAATTCACTCATTCGGCTATTGATGGCTTAGACTGAATCCACTCGTGCGATGATTCATTCCAACATTCACGTCTGAGTATGGTGACCGATTTGTGGATCCATCCTAATGCGATTTGCTTCATCTTCCGACTGACCGAGGTCAATTCCCGCTGGGTTCGTTCATTCTCGTCTAAAGGTCAAGGACAGAAAGTTCCCGGGTGGGGTTGAGAGACAAACAGTCAAACACCACCCACCCCACCGAAAATTTCATCATTACACGATGACTAATTCACATGAACTNAAAGAAATCACGTCATTCCAACTGGACGGGATTTTGATAAACCTGGTCCAATCGTGTGCGGGCCGAAGCACCAATCCCTTTTTGGGGTTCCTGGTAGGATGAACTTGGTTCAATTCAATTACAACGGATTCACACGAAGTTTAAAATATATAGTTGCAAAAAAATGAGTCGGTGCGAGAACCATTGGTTTTGGTTATTCATAATCTTGCTCTTACATATCATAAGGTGGGGAAGTTTTTATATAATCGTGGCTCTCGTTTCAGTTTAAGGTCACTAATAACAGGCAGGAGGTAGAGAATGAGTATGTGGAAGAATTTTTATTGTCAGTTGATGCAACCTTTCTCCACTTGGGTCAAAGGACACGTCCTGTTGTGCCTTGATTCTCACACTAGGCCAAGGTAACTGAAGCTCTTGAACGAGTTCGTTGTGGGCTCACAGTTATAGGCATAGAGTGCGGATGACGATCGTCTCAGTCATGGCTTGCGTCCAAACTCAGGCCGCCTTTGATTGATAGAATGGAACGCGATACTTAACATCCAGAAATTTCTCCGGTTCGGTCTTATGTCTGGTGTCCACAATCGCGCTTCCGATAGAGCCGGTCTTCACGGGTGGTGCTCCTTTACTAGTTCAGACAAACCCTTTACCGTACGATTAGTGGTCCACAGGGGCATCTCGACGAAGAAATTAACATAGAGAAGGTCAGTTTTAGCCGTTTGTCTTTTATTTGTATTTGCAACACCGGTGATTTTGAGAGTACTGATCTAAGTTTGGATGAGGAGAAAGTGGAATTTACAGTACTCTCAGTGACTGTACTAAAATTTTGGTCGTTTTCCTCAATTCAGTCCCTCCGCAGTGAAACATGCCAGATGTTAGTAAACCAAAAGCAAATTGCTGCTTGTGTCAATAATATAATTTTAAGGCAATAGGTATACATTCTTTCTTCTTGGTGTCAGTCATCACCGATGTGAGCTGATTAGAACCGTGACGATCATGTTTAATCTATATCAAAAAGTTCTATCACCCGGTAGTCACAGATAAATTTCATCACTCTACACTTCGGTACTCGAGCTCAGTTTAGATCATTTGATATATAATGATGGAGAATTCAGACAGGGAACATGCAACATTCACTCACTGCTTCTCAAAGTTTTCTTTGTACATGCATGACAGTTAGCAGTCGTGCAGGGAATGTAACTTTATGTATTTTGACGTTTTAATTTCCCAGAAAATATCAATAATTATCCATCATATATTCATCTGTGTGCTGTGTCTTATCTTTCAAGATAATTAGCCTATTTACTCTGACAAAAGTATTGAACTGTTGCAGCTAGATAATGATTTCAATAAGTAGTCTTGAGATTGGAAAATGCTCAACATTGTTAACAGTTTGTACTAGTGGGGTTGACGAAATGAAGCTTTCATGTTTTATCATAAGGCAAGCCTGTAAAAATTCACGTAATAAAATCTTACTGGATTTCATCATCACTCTGGCACATAATACCAATAGTTATAAGGATTTAAATATCACGATTCAGAATAATATGGGCTGGCCATATAATCTTTGGGGGAGCATACTTGCAGAAATAAGACCACACGATCTTCCTTTAGTCTCAGTCGGTCCACACGTATCTGTTCTCGAGCCTGTAGACAGATGGCTTCCCATTTGTCTAGCATGCTATTTTTCAGCGTTTCTAATGCCTGTTCCTCATATTCTTCTTGCACATTGTTTGAGCGCTTAAGCTTTTGTTTGCAAAGGTAAACTGCATAATCCACGTCATCGGGTTTTGAAAAATTTGAAGGCCAAAAGCATGGTGCCTACGGAGAAGAAATACGGAAACAAGGATTAGCGGAATATTTATGTCCAGCAGAGAACAGAATAAGAACAAATGTAAATTCAAATCTCATTTAGCGCCAACATCATTAATTAATAGATCTCGAATGGGTTCAGATAGTACAACCTACAAATACAACCTATGGGTCTATACACCATGGTTTAACTGTCAGCATAACAGAGCGATCTATTTTGTTTTCATTTACTCATTTACTCATCCCATGTAAATGCGTGAACTTGTGAGGGATCAACCATCTCCCAAAGAGTGAAAACCACTCCGAAGACTATCAAGAGTGTCTGGCGCCTCTGAACAATCGAATGGGCTAATCCAAGCTTGTTACTCTAAAATTGATTAAGCCATTCGCACAAGCTGATAACCATCGACCATGTAGCTCAGAAGTAAGGGTTTGAAGTCCCAAGTCGGGAGTCCGCGGTTTCGTCCCCGATAGGACGAAACAGCTGTTCAGTGCTCCTTGTCGGTTATCACGAACATTTCCAACGCATGCAAAGTAGCATATATATAGACTGAGCTTTGAGACCACATCTACAACAGAACCTCAACAGTTTGTCCAAGCTCACAATTGATATGAATAGCTGCAGTTATGTTGAGGGAACCTACTGTGACAATAAGCTTGCATGTTGATTGTTTTGTCCATATACAAATTTTAGTTAACTGAGTATTTAGACTTGAGGGGAATAGAGCTATAGCTAGGATGACAGAGAATACACTTTCCAAACACGTAAAGAGTGACCGAGTATAGGTACCAATTCCACTGAGAGTCTGAATTTTTCATCATTGAATGAAAACATGGATTTAAGACAACTTAGAGCTTATTATTTTATGCGGCACGCATCGCAAAACTGAAACCCGATTGACTGCAATGAAACATCTTGCCTTGGAGCTTATTATCTAGATGAAATCTCATTTCCTTAAAGTGATTACCATCCACAAGTAAACGTGTGCATCTTGATGTTTTAGCTGTGGTCGTCATTGTTGCATTTTTAGCACATATTCACTGAAGTATAAGGACGTTCCTCAAATAAGTCACGATTTATTTCATGTAGGATACATTGCAAATATACCATTTCGGAGCAGTGGTCAAAAAATGGGATTTCCTTTTTTTCCGTTGGGATATCTCCTCGTGTTTGGATTTTACCCATAGATCGATCATGCACATAAGTTCAATAACAAAAACATTATTTGAGAGGTAAGACAAAAGTGGCAATTTACAAAAGCTAAGAGGAATATTGGTTTACCAGGGAAACCCGAAAAGTGCAAAACTATAGCGACAGTCGTATCTTCAAAAGACCAGAAATATGAGGAAAAGGTCACCTGCATCCGGAACTTCATCGCGGGATCCGCCTTCACTCTTCTGACATTCAGTGTACTGACGGGGTAGATATAACCGAAGTGGAGGAAGAAGTTGGCTAAATGCAAAGCTTCTTGCTGGTCCGCGGTATTCAGTAAATCATGAATTTTCTGCACCAAGTCACTGCCTGAGAAGCAACAATTGAATGGATCCCTGGGATCGGATGGATGTCTGAAGGTTTGATAAAAAAAAAACGGTGAATACTATCGTGCTATCGGTCGTGTTGCAAATGCACCCTGCGTTCATGCAGATGTGTTTCACAAAATTCGTCGTGTGCAGAGAAAAAGAAGTATAAACTGAAATGCTGCGAAGCACTGCACATCTAATTATACCTCCACAGCAGTGCGAAAACATCGGCCCAACCGAGTATCGAGCTCAAGTACTCATATGAGTAATGGATGATTTGATTGAATTTCAAATGGGAATTCGTCATGTATGTTAGCAAATGAAGTGTGAACTAAAAAGCTAGGAAGCACTGGATAACTGTTTCATCAGCAGTGCAAATTCATCGACCCAAACGAGTATTGAATTTGGGTCCAAACGACGAGTGAAACCTGTAAGAAGCTTTCGAAAATGGGTTGTGCATAGGTTATGCATAGGAAAAATGGAAAACGGTCTGGTCTGTTGACCCGTGATCAAATGGGTGGTATACTTGCGCTCTATCATTGATTTCGGGGTTTGATCCTACGTTGGTCCGATGGATTCACACTACTGATGAGAGCCAATAGGGTAGGAACAGTTGTACAGTGATTCCCAGCATTTGGCTTCATACTTCGTTTGCTCTATGCATTATATGATTGAATTAAGCTCTGAACAGTTCTCACGATAACTATTTTCATGGAATTAAAATAAGGTTCCGAATAAGCTGGATATCTGGAAGTAAGCGGAAAAAGCACTAAGTGATGGACAGAGAATGAATGTTAAACTAGTGTTATATAACTGCAAGACGGTACCTGAACGGGGAAGGTTGTTCGGATATGAGAAACACTAACGGTATCGATAGATTGGTGTACACACAACATCTTATTTGGAACAGGTCATCACAATTCACACAAGCAAGCAGGATAATTAACGAACTAATCCGACGATAGATGCGCGTTTACTGCAGCTACAACTTTGCATACAGTAATTCGCTTTAGGTCTTGTTTATTTTTTAGCTTTGTGGGAAACCGCGCACCTCTGCTATACTACTCAGAACTCTGAGTAGTACCTCACAACACTATTACGTCCACAGGGTGAACCACAACCGCTTTTCTGAGATTCTGTAATCATAGTTGACATTTTTATAAATTGAGGAGAAAAAAGTCAAAATTACGGTTAGGAATACAATTTTAATTATTCTCCATTAAGTCTTTGAAGGCCAAAATGTACTTCTGTGTTCGAACAGCATTCATGTACGATTGAGGGATTGAGGTTTTATGTAAATTAACATTTTCAATGACTCAAATTTTTTACTATAGTGTAGACTAGGGCTTTTTTAACCGGCTCTCTGAAACGTGAACGTACAACCGAGAAAATTTAAAACGGTTGCCTTCTTCCGATATACCTGAGCTGGAATTTGATTGGAGAAAATTGACCTTGAAAGCTCCAATAGCCTTTTATTCTGCTTCCTTTTATTGAATATGCAAAGATACATTTTTGGGAAGGGGAAAGCGGCCAATCAAAGGTCTGCCATTCGACACATAATGCGGAAAGTTAGGTGGTGGTAGGGATGTGCTAATTTGGTGACGTTACCGCCGAGCCATCGGTACTGACTGTGCTTGTTTTCACATTGTATTATTCTAAGAATATTCTACGCTCTTTTTATTGTAATAAGACAGCCTTTTTATGCTTCACATGCTTTTAAAATCCATGTGAATAATCCAGCTATGGTATGAGCATTCTATCTTTGATTTATTGGTTTCCTTTTACAATCCCACTGTTGACGCAACGACGTGTTCCACCAAATGGGAGTATCAAAGATAAAGCCGGTATGCAGTTGTGTTTGATCTTGAAAAGCAGAATCGTATATTAACAAGAGCGTCTAAATACCTTTGTTTTCATATTACTCACTCAAATTGAAGACCCCCTTTTGGATTGTTGAAATGGCCGATTAGCTGTTCCATTTTGTATGTGTGAACATGACGATAAAATCCATCCAATGCTTCCAACTCCGTGCATGTTTCCTCCTCTGTTTGATCCTCCATGTTTGATAGATGAACACACACAAGCGTACACGTATACGTTCAAAGCAGGTGTTGAGTTTTTGAGTATATTTACTGAAATAGAATTATTTCGACGGTTACAAATAAATCTGAACAACACACACACTGTCAGTTAGTCAGTTTGATAGACTGATGCTAATAGGGGACGAAAGAATCACAAGCACTTCATAGCCAAACCAACTGAATTATTCCATTCTGAAGTAAAGTACGTAGAAATACTTTGTCTATCGCGGCAAAGAGAAAAATGAATCATTTAGCCTAGGCAAGGAAATCGCATGTTATTATAAAATAGATAATAAAGCTGTCAGAGGTTAACAGATTCAGAGTGCCTTAAGCATATTCAATCGGAAGTTGCCGCAATTGAATCGGATTTTTAGGGTCGCGTGATGTACAACAAATGAGCAACCACACAGATTAATTGGTTATTCCACCGACAAACGCCTTCTGTCGGATCGGGACTACCATAACGCTTTTTCGGTCTGAACGATTCAATCTCTCCGTAAAGAAACAGTTGTACTTTTAATTGAGTCACTGTGCGAGAATAGAGATTTGAGGATAATGCCGGATCTCAACGTCCATTCCGCCGTCACGTTATGACCTTGACCATTGATCAAAAGAACAGAGAACGAGCCTCGCAGTAATCGACCTCGGTCGGTGAGGTAGAAAGCTATCCACTCCCAGATGAATCGATAGACAGGCATTCATATTGGTGTGAACCATTGTATAGGCGGTTTTAACCCGGGTTTTAATGAACTATAACTTTTCAACTTCAAGTGAATGCCTTGTAACTTCAAGTGAATTCAACCAATCTCATTCTTTTTGGAAAACCGCTAAGTAATTGGTGCTTTTGCCGTCACATGTCACCAATTGAGCCGGTCTATCAAAACCCCGTCCAGTTTGAATGAACTGATCTTCCATACCAAAAACGGAAGTTGGATGAGTTACCGAGCTAGAATGCAAGTTTCGATGGAGTGGGGAGGAGTGGGGTTTGAATGTTCGTCTGGAAAACGTTACATCCTTTACCGTTGATCGAGTGAACCTTCAATAAGAATGAACGAACCCGGCGGCAATTGACCTCAGTCGGTCGGGTAAGGATGCGAGTCGTTTCGAAATGTCGAAATGAATCTTCGCACGAGTGTGTTCAGTCTAAACCCACAATAGCCCAGTGAGTAAATGCCATGGAGATAAAGGTGGTCTTGAATAGCACCCATTGCTTCCAACCAAATTTAATCACTTACATATTTCTGGCATTGAAAGATACGCTTGACAAGATACTTAACAATGGTACAAAGATACAGTAAAAGATCCATCAGTGTTGACATGAATAGCACGAATAAATTTGAAATCTTCCACTACCTAACATAAATTACATCACGCCATAAGCCAAACTGGCTGCAGTGAATTTTGACAATGTGGTATTTGCAAGTCATTAGAACATGGGTTAGCAAACAAGCTCGTTTTACGATAGAACTTCAACTGCTTACATATAATCTATTGAGTGACAAATATACTCAATTATGATAAGCAGAAGCACGGGACAATATACTTGGAATCCAAGAGCGTTGCCCAAAACGGTAGCCAAAATGGTGTTTACAATCAATCAGCGATGAACGATAAAAATGGGTTGTGCATTGCGATCGACAAAGAGATAACGAAATTCTATTCCGGCATTAAACTTCAAGGTAACGTAACTGTCACTAATATCAAAACCACGCTGACAAGATACAATGAAAGAGGGGAATGTTTAGATGGGTAAATGAATCACCGTGTCAAATCCGAATTTGGTACTGATGTCCTAAACAAATCTTGCCTCCTGCCTATAGAATTAGGTCCGCATAAGAATGTTTGGATCAGCCTCAACGACAGAATAACAAAAACATGAATATACAAATGTATCATTTATATATCCAAGTATCTTCCTTCCCATCAGGGTTTTGCTTGAACGCATTAACACTGAAATAAGGATGGATATGTACTTACTATTCATAGTTTCGCATGGACACTATTTTGTCAAAGGCCGATCAACGCACTGACAGCTGATGTTAATGTTAATAACTCTTATTCATACAGCCCGTAGGAATCGGTGAATATATGGGCCTAACTCAGAAACATCACAATTCATGAGCGGTGCGAATCCACCCACCTGACCGAGGACTGAACCTGGAACCACGGAGAAAGAACACAAGCATACTACACATTTTCCCATCAGGCAACTGATCAGACCGTTTTCCATGTATCATATACATACACTATAGCCCAACCTATCATTGCGAGCTTGATGCAGGGATCACAGGTGGTGAATCTAAGCGTCAGGATTCACACAGCTGGTGAGTCTCAACCAGGTGAAAATAGCTTCCCAGTGCTCTATAGCTTTGAATTTCACCACCTAATTGACTTCGCCCACGAGGAAATTCATTACACAAGAGAACCAAACTTTTCACCACTCTCGTATAACACCAGTTTCTGAAGAACCTCATTATTGGAAATTTTAATTTTGGCATTATTCATTTCACTTTAAACATTGGCTTTCCTGTAGTCTTTCTCTTCCATGGTTGAAAAGTTATTCATACATTTTTAATATAGCGTAGTTGCTTTCTTCTCTTCATTTACTCATGAGACCATCACGTTTAACATCTGATGAACTATCTTGAATGCCCTCAGTTTTCAGTAAACCTCAAATAAAACACATTTTATTAGTAAAAATTATATTTGAGCTCAATGGCTACCATGCGGTCCGTTTCACTGGATTCGGACAGTGGTGTTTCAATTTTACAGTTTTGTTTAGAAGAGAAACAGTGTTATTTCACAACCTGTCAATAGTCACCTTCCAATTGTTTATTCACTTTATCCCTTCACTTCAGATGATGTCCGGAAGTGATAGACTATTTAATGCACATGCTTGGTGCAGCTGGGGGCATCATCGCTGATGTTCCTTTGTAATATGTTTCTAGCACTTTGAGAGTCTAGCAGTGACGCAACCGCGTGCTGAATGTCGTGCTTACCTTCATCCTGTTAAGAACCCGATGCAAAGCTATCATCCTTTGTAGAATCATGGATAATTGTGATTTATTTTTACCACAATACGGTCCACTCATTGAACTAAAGAAATCGCACCGATGTAATCAGGCTGTGACTGATAAGTGATGCTACAAGGATGATAAAGTATGCAAAAAAGCTGGGTAACAAAGGAAGAAGCTGTAAGTGACAGGTTGTTGTCATTGGTATTATGTATGGAATGCAATGGTCAATCCTGGAAATACAAAAAATGTTATTTCTGCAAGCCATTGGATGAGTTCCCATTTAATCTCACTATTCATTTGATATACT